ATCTTTGCCATAATAAGAAATTTAATTAGATAATTATACGTACGTTTTCTGAAAATGATGTTTTTCTATTCTGGATAGCTTCTCTGAGAACCTTACAATGTAAATCATCCACAATGGCTGCTGCATGACGTGTGCTTGCACAGTGAACCATTGCTTCTATATACCTACAGGAAAAGTTAGTCCAAAATATATGTTGAAAGTAGGCTTCACGCAAGATTTTATCTACATGTTTCTTTATAAAAGCTTGAGAAAAAATATCCAAATTAACTTATGTCTAAAACTTTAAAGATATTTATAATAAATACACACATCAATAAATACACACATTTGCACATATATTAAGTTCTCCTCATAGCTAAAATACTGTTTTAAATTTTAATGTCCAATGTTTTGATATTTTTAAACTTCTAATAGCCTATATTGTTATTTATAATCTGTAAGCCATTCAGAGTTGTTTGATAGTGAGATGGGCAGCATATAAATTTAATAAATAAATAAGCAGCTAGCAGAAATCACATGATCTGTCAATGTAAGAGAAGCGCAATAGTTTTATTTATTATTAAATTTATCCACTGCCTGTTCTCCCAATGGCTTTGCTGGCTTGCATGAAAAACATTAAAAAAACATTAAAAAGTTAATTTGTGAAAACAGAATTATATCAGTCAATGAACTGATATAACCCAAAATGCCAATTACTTTGTTTTATCAAATTAACTCTGTATTCTTTTGTTTCTCTTACATTAATCAATCATGGGGAATTAAAAAAAGATTATATGTGTTAGGACCACATCAAATCAGTTTAGGATTTATTACTGTGTGCCATATTAATAAGGGGAGGGCGCAATCGCTCAGTAATTAAAGATGCTGAGCTTGTCAGCTGGAAAGCTGACAGACGGTATTCAAGACCCAAGAGCCATGTGACAGGGTGAGCTCCCATTAACTGCTCCAGTTCCTGACTATCTAGAAGTTCTAAAGCATGTAAATGCATATAGATAAAAGGTACCACTTTGGTGGGAAGCAAACAGCGTTCCATGCACCTTGACACATAGTCATGCTGGCTACATAACCACGGAAATGTCTTTGGACAACACTGGCTCCCTTGGCTAAGAATCGGAGACGAGTGTTGTGAGTCCTCGCCTGCCAGCAGATCCGGCAGCTGAGTCAGATGAATCTGATGAGGGGGAAGAGTTGCCTGGGTTTACATCGGAGTCTGTGGAAGGCTCTGAGGAACACAAAGACTCAGAACTAGATGTGACACCAGGCCCATCTACTCACGCTGAGGCAGAGAGACAGCTGGGTTGGGGGCCTGAACTGAGTGAAGAGGAGGAACAGCTGGGCCTGTTCCAGATGCAAGGATGTGCAGAGAGGAAAGGCATGCAGGACAATGTAGAGCTGTCGAGCGGCTCTCCAAGAAAAGTAAAAGATTCTAAGAAGCCACGCCCTGGCTGGATTATAAAGAGGAGAGGCATGGGAGGGCTGGTTGCCAAAGGCAACCATTCATGCTACAGCTTCGTGCTTCTGTTGTTGGATTTCTTGCCTCAGGATTCTTGGACATTTAACGAGGTTTATCAGATATCTGTGTGTTTGAGTGACTTACACCTTGAGCATTCCACCTGAGAACTCAAGAGACTGATCTTATTCCTTTCAATAGCTAAAGGACTGGTTGGAGTTTTGTTCCATAAAACCTGTGTCAAAATAAAAGGGGTTTACCTTACAAAGTCCTGCTTTGTTCAGTGCAAAAGTGTTTTTCCTCACGAGTAAGCAGTTGAGCAGTATTTGCGTAGGCTGGGACAGAACAATGAGCACTTTCCCTATATCAGAAATGATTGGACAGGGGAAACCTTTACCTTTACCACAAGTTTGCTACCATTCAACTGTTATTTTCTAAATAGAATTGGTGATTAGATTCTGAATGGCCACCTGGCCAGAAAATAGCTTTCTGTCCATCTATACTTGATTAAGGAGCTCAAGTATATTTAGGCAAGTCACTCTCTTACTGCAACTTATCTTACATTGCTGTTGCTTTCCAGAAAGAAAATGATAGGAACTTTTTCCCC